AGTGTTCCCACCTTCTGCTCTTTGTAACTTAACGCGATCTTTCCGTTTTCGAGTTTTGGACATGATTTTGGAGGATATCTTCGCAGTAGTGATTGACCGCAAAGTAAAGCTACCGAAAATGTACAACCCCACATCCCGTCTCAAACCAGGAAGTCAGCATTTTCTCGTGCACAGGGTCTATTAGGCTGCGGGCTAAATTGGCGCGTGGGCCCGAGTTTGACACCTGTGTGTTATTTGATTATACAAGTTGTCAAAAGCAATATTTTGAATCACAGCCCAAGACCTCAAATAGCTTTTTTGTTGACAGAGTTTACAAACTTCCTAACAGTTTTCTATCATTGTACACGTGCACGTTCCTCATAATCTTTTTCTTTTCTAAACGAGGATCTTTTCAGAGACTTGTTTGTTTTGTGCCAGACTCTTTATATCACGTTTATTTCACACACTTGTGAGTAAACCATACAAATGACAAACCTGCGGCAGTTCACTCATGAAATGTGAGGAATGCAAAACAATCAAGAACTTGCTTACTTGGGTATTTATTGCACTGTGTACCACATGAAATATACAATTAGTATAAAATATTCCAAGTCAAAAGAGAGAAGCTAGACAAAGATTTCACCAAATTTGGAAAGAAAGAAGAGTTTCTAAATCCTAAACTGGTAATACAAGCAACCTAGGTTGCTTGTATTACCAGAATAACAACAATAACAACAATCGTTTAGCGTTTGCTAAACAATTGTTTAGCGCCTTAAAATTGACATTTGTGGCGTTATGCTGGGTTTACTACACTGTATATACACACATCAGGTCTCAGTTCAAAAGAAAAACTAAGTTCAAAACTGTAAAAGCAGTTAGCTAAACAGCGCACAGGTACCTGTTGCTCTGTCAGCCTTAGCTTTCAACGAGTCGAGTGAGGTGGGAGAGTTTGAATAGCACACAGATCAATTAAAACGTAGTAACCTCTTTTAAAGGGTTCGTGAAACCCAAAGTAGTGTTGCTACATTAGGCTCAAAACAGAAAAATAACCGTGTCCGTGTAGCTTCCAAAGTGGCGTACTCTTAAATGCACTTACCGGTGTGAAGCAACGCGAAAGTTAAAGCCAAAAAGAGCGTTTTTTCGAACATAGTTAAATTTGTTCAACCAGGATACGAAAACTTTACTTCAATACGGGCTCAGTTGGACTGATATCCAGAACCTTCTCACGAGAACAGATTAGGTTATTTCACGTCTTCAATGTTCCCGCGAAACATTCACATATAATGGAGGCGGGTTAGTTGAGAGGGCCAATGGGCGGCTGTCAAATGGTTGACAGGGAAGTGTGTGTTTGCTACGCATGCGTAAGAACGCAGTGACGTTTCATGTGTATATCTTCGTCGCGAATATACAGAGTGAGTGCCACTGTGTCTTGAGCACATTCTGGTTTATGATATCAAACACCTTCTAGTAGGAAGTCCTGCTTTCTGCAGTCGCTTTGAAATGCTAGGACACATGTTTATACTTTTTTGGGTGGAGGTTCGTCCTCTCGGGAAACAACCATCACGTGTCACCGTTGCCGTGAATATTGGTATAATTGTAACGCAATCCGTAAGAATTGCTGGTCCAATGTTATTAGAGTAGCCTGTTCCTCTGCGAAAGGCGGTTCCATACAGTCCACATTACAAACGCCATTAGCAGCTACTCTCTTTAATCGTTTGTATGACATGATTCCCACACAGTATACTGTCCATGTTAGTTGCAAGTGAAGTCTCATTAAAGAATTTAAGGTAAAAGTTTAAGGTATTTTATATTACCTCACACAGCTCTATTATGTGGGATATTTTGATAATAAGAAAAAAAATATCTTCAAACCTTCACCTGACTGATTTTGTTTCTTGAAGCCACAGTTTACCCAACAGATGGGATAGCTGCACTACAAGAAACTTGAGCTGTTGTATGACACGCTACAAAATATCTGCACATTCAGGCTTTGGTAGGTCGAGCCCAGCTGCACTGACAGTTAAGAGCTAGATATGAATAGAAAGGCACATTAAAGTATCCCAGACACCTCAAGGTTTACTCATAAGATTCAACTCAAATTTGTTTTTAACGAGAACAAATCACTGACAATAAAGACTTACCTGGAATGAAAATGTCAGCTTAAAACAGTCCTCATATTCATCCTCTTAGCTGCCTCTGCACGTCTTACCTTCCCGCCGTTCGATAAAGTGGGTGGGACTAACAGATCACGTTATACCAGGTTTCCCGCCGTTGCGAGGACGTGGGCGTCACATCTAAGTAAGTTAGAGTGGAAGCAAGTGCAAGCGGAGTATACTCAGATTTGGACAGGCTCTAAGAACACATACGTACTCTGATGAACAACAGGACTTAAGGACAAAGCCTCATAGACATTGGAGGACCTCAGAAGGTGGCAGTGTAACGTCAAGGACTAACTACAACTATGTTCACAACAAATATTCCACTTTCAAGTCTCAAACAGTTTAATGTTACACGTTCTTCATAAGCCTTAGCAGGTTCGTGGTGGCAAAGTTACTCTTCACAAAACCATACGCTTAATAACTGCACAGCTAAATATTGCTCTTGAAATCTAGATAACGTTATCTAAATGAGATTTAAGCTGTATATAATGTTTAGAGAAACGATACCAGCCAAGCGTCCACTGCATGAAAGAGCTCAGTACCGAGTTCTGCCAATTTAGTAAAACATTGTGCAAGTGGAAGAAAAGCTACAAATACAGAAACTGAGCATAAAGAAACAGACACAATGAATCAGTTACCCTTTCCCAACAGGAATATATTTATTTGAAATTATTTCAAATGATAAAAACATGGCTGATAACGTGAATGACCACAGGGTTTTTGCTTTTCAGAGTGGACAAGGTGAGAACATGAGATAAGTAGAGGGGTCATCTGTGTATCAAGGTGAACATGATCCAGAAAAAGAAGCAGAGGTGCATCACTTATCACCTTCACTAAATTACCTGCCGATCTGATTTTTTGAAAACCAGACCCCAAAAATGTTGGCTCATTGGTAAAACCTCGCATACATCAATTCAGCTCATTCACCTTTATGGCCAAATGTCCAGAGAAGTGCAACAAGAATCCAGTCTGTCAGACCAAAGCTCACCCCCTGGAACATTGTTAGAACTCTTAATCATGTCTTTTCCTATAGTACAAGCTTTTTACAACATAAAAATAGATCAATAACTATGATTACCATATTCCTTAAAGTAAATATACAATATTTATTGCATTTTCAAATAGACTTGTTTCTTATTTACTCCGTTGTCATCATCTTCCCCCAATATATGTCGTCGTCATCATCATCAAAAAACTAATCACTGGTACCGATGAGTGACAACAGATTTGTGTAAGGCAAATACCAGCAGGAGGCGCTGCATCACTGAGAATGGACAGTCTGACCTGAGCCAGGATCTTTTTGTTCACTTTTTGTGCTGTGCACTGTAGAAAATGATGTCATTAGTGTTTTAAGTGAAGCTTGATGCTTTCAAAGGGAGAAAAGAGAGGACCTCCATATATATTCCAACAATTCTCTGGCACTTAAGTGTTCCTGCATTTTTTTTTTTTAAGATTTTTGTTTTTGGTTAGCTGCTACCATCTACAATCTCTACAAACTGCTGCTTGCATAGCAATTCAACAACACATTATCTTTCTCTGGCTATGAGGTCCTTCTTCGAAAGGGCCACCAGCAGCAAATCATGAATCAGAGCAGAGCTGAGCTTTCAGACCAACTTCCCTTGAAGAAGATTCCTACGAAAACAGAGATGATCCCTTGTAAACTCCTCCAAAAATGGTCTGCAAACCTTGGTCCAGTAAACAAATAATTAGTGTTGGACTAAAATGTGGCCCACACAGAACCCACAGTGAGCCTGAAGAAATATGCTGGCTATGTGAAGGAAACCTGTCAGAACCATCAGGAGCAAATCAGTTTTATGTTGCATCAACATGATGTAGTCCTGATGTTGAAGGTGCGTATGTCAGGGTCATGCACAGTGTCTCGGTTAAGCAGTTTAGCTGCTGTGCAACATCATCTGAAGATGCAAATATGAACAACCCCAGATACAGAGTTACAAAAACAGGCAAGACTACAATCAAAGAATTATAAATGTCAGAACAAGTGTGTGGCGACTGCTGTCATGGTGAACCGTTCGTGAGACTCCACCTGCATTTGGCACACCGACTCAAGCACACCTTTACCTGGCACTGATGGAATGGCTATTCAAGACAAATACTAATTAACAAACCGACAATAAGCCCCACATGTGTGGCAGTACAAATTTTTAGGGAAAAACTTGAGTTTATCTGCTCATATTCCCTACAAATTAATGCTGACACCAAAAAGCAATAACATAACAGAAAAAAGAAAATATGTTATTCTGAAAAATCACAACTATTCTTATTATTATTCTGAATAAGCATAAAAAAAAGATGGAATGCAGAGATTTGGAAGTGTTCGGAGTTTGGTCCCGATATGTAGCGTCAAACAGAAGCCTCTGCATTCAGTCAGCAGAGTCGTCATCAAAGTGGTCCCAGTCAGTGGTTTTTGTTCTCTCGTGCAAAGACTGAAAGTGACCGCTGAGTAGTGTCAAACCTGCGTGGTGTAGTAGTGTTTCCTTTGTGTTCACCTTGATGCTTCCAGCTGGTGGCTCAATGTTAGTGTATGTTTGTGATGTAGTGTGTTTATGATTCGAGTGCTTCACCGCTTCCTCCTCAACGACACAGTTCAAGTCCCGAACTGAGGTCTGTTCACCTGCCCACTGGCGGCGCTGGAGGAGCTCCTCTTACGGCTGAGGAAAGAAGGTGGAGAGACAAAGTTAACTACAGCTCAGTCCTCACACTGGTCTAAAGGGCATAAATTGTACATTTTGAGAAGAAAGCTGGAAACGTGACAGAAGTTCAAAACCAAAAAACAGTTCAATGAATAAATCTTTAAAACCTTAAGCCCTGACAGAAGGTCCGCTATTATTTTACAACTCACAGAGAACCATTTTCAACCACAGTAGACTAGAAATTTCAAAAGTTTGAGTTAATAAGCTGTAATTTTCGAGATCAAAATCTTAAGTTAGCTCTGTCAACCAGGGAGCTCTGTGAAGGTACTTCTTTTCCTTGTTACCCAGAAGCCAAAGGTGGAAGGCATCATCTACAGCTGTACTTTTGACATGGTTTTACAAATGACATCCTTGTGTTACTAACTGAACTGCATGGCGTTATCAACAGCAGTTTGCTAATGTTTATTATACACCGGTAGGTCACTGAAGAAGCTAAAACTGTTGCCCTCGTTTCCATTTTCATGAAATTGATTTGTGAATTCAGCGTTGATAACTTTAGAAATGCAAAGACTGTCTCCAATAAATCTCTTAGCTGAGATGATAATCCTGCGTTTGATTCAACCTGGAAACATCATGGCTCCCGAGACTTAAACTCCCCCCTCCCCCCTCACCAACTCGACAGGTTAATATGTAGTTTCACAAAACTCAAGTAGTCATTATAAGGAAGTAGGTAAGCTGTGATTAAGTTGGTGGTAAACCTTTACTGTGAAACAAAGGTCAATGTTGCGTTATACCGTTCTCTTTTGGCATGTTGTAAAAAAACAGAATACGTTTGCAGCTTGTGTGAGTCACTGAATATGTGTATAATATAATGTTAGCATTTCTATTTGTGGCAGGATACTACCATCATAAAGACATCACATCAATATTTTAAGAAGACAATTTGTTTCCTACACTGCAAATTACCATTGCCTGTTAATTAGTGCTTTCACACTTAGGTGTGTGCATATTATATACTTATTTTATAGGCAGAGAAGAAGAACTAGTTTCTAGTAATTATTAATTATGTTAATGCTGCTATAATAACACTGAATTTATAGGGAAGACACTTTCCAGAGCAACTCCATAGCATGTGGAGCACGTGCCAACAGCTCTAAACCAAACTGTTAGGATAGTGTCTAAACACACACACAGCAGCTCAGGGTAATTTTTCATGAAACCCAGCTTCCTATATGGCTGCATCCTGACACATAACACAAACAGAGCAGTTTATATGGCAATAAAACAATTGTCCACGACTTAACTGAATCTTAAGGGGAGCTGGCATTGTGTTACATTTACACTGTGGGTCATGCTTCAGTCATACCACACAGATCATAACCTTTTCTTCTTGTTTATTCCTTGTTGTTTTACTGCTGTTCTAAGTGTTTAGCACATGAGATCTGGGTAAATAAAGTGACCGTGTCTGACAATAACACTATATTCTCCATGAGAATGCAGTGTCTTATTATTCCTGACAAAACAAGTCAAGTGGAGGGAGAGAGCAATGTGCTTCATAGTGTTACTCGTACCCGTGTTGGTCTTGCTGGGGTAGACCTTGTTGATAGGCCTGTACTCCTCCGGAGGTGGAAGGTCTTCAATAGGGTGGAAGTTGAACTTGGATTCAAAATCATCTGCAGGAGGAAGGAGAATAAACAAGCTTTTTAAAATGTGCAGACACATCAAGTCACAAGTTTTAAATATTAATTGCATTTGTTTTACAAAGAAAAGGCGGTGGACAGTTTAAATTGCTTAAAACTTATGACTACTACAAACGCAAAATGAAAAAGTTAAATCTCAAACTTCTGTGGCTAAGAGATCACGTCCTAAACCAAAGTGTAGTAACAAATGCTTTAATGGATTTTTTTACTGCTTGCATACTCATTTGCAACAGTACTGATACACCCAGAGTAACATCATCTTCTCCTTCAGCTGACACACAACATAACAGATGTGAATAACAGCATAACAGACTTAGTGAACATGTTAAAGGCTGACACCTCGGTGTTTATGAGAACTTTTGCGAGGTCAGTAAAGCTCTTATTTTAAAAATACTGAGGTATTAAACAGCCATCATCATCAAATTTTAACCTGATCATCATAAACGTTACTGTTAATGAATTAAGATTATTTCATTCTTAGCAATTACCCACAGACGGCAGCTATGTTTTTTAAACCTTTAAACATGTGAAACAGCAAACATAGCACTGAAACAGAGATAAGCACAGTGCAAAAGAATAAAAGACAAACATGTTTTTCGCGTGAGTTTCATCTATATAAGAGCGT